TCATAATCTGATGGGACTGGTAAAGACGTCATTATAAAACGATGAATGCCATGATTGTATTATCAAAAAGTACTATAAAGTATACAAATAATTGTATCATCAAAAAGTACTATAAAGCATAGAAATAATTGTATCATCAAAAAGTACTTTAAATTGTATAAATGATTATATTATCAAAAAGTGCTTTAAAGTATATACGTAATAAGTTATCCGACATTTTATATGATCATGTGAATTTTTTGCCATGACATTTTTTTGCACGAAATTACGTAATCAATTGTGCAAATATCAAGAATACATCATTTAATCGGAGTTAAGTGCTGCCCCGCAGCACATGGGTGATATTAACTCTGGCGAAAAAAATTTCCCGTCTACTGCCTAATAAAATATACTTAAGTTACGACAATTTTATTCACATGATAAAACAACAAGAACAAGGAAGAAAGTGGAAGAAAATGTATAATAATAATAAAATAAATGAGAAAGTAAAAATTACGTTCGTGGTTTGGACGGTATTACTTAGATATTTAATTATACCTAATTATAATATTAAGGAGTTTACTATAATAGAAGGGGTACTATGATTACTAAGAGTACTACGTATACTATTAATAATTTGTCACCGATTATCTTTTACTAAAAAGGTAGTGGTGAATATTTAATTCTTAAAAATCACTATGGGTAACTATTAGTAAATTAATCTACGTACGTACGTACGTAGTTATATCTAAATGTTATTTATGGACTAACTGGTATGTGCTCATGTACGCACGTACGTACGTACGTACGTCGTGCAAAGTGTATATACGTATGAAACTCGCATTTTTCTTGTGCACGTACGTACGTACGTACGTACGTAGTTAAGCAGACATTAAAGTATTTAAGATTTTTAAAGTTTTTAAAGTTTTTAAATATAATGAAAAGCCTATTTTGATCACATACCATAGTTTTAACAGCGCCCTACGTTGTTTAGTGCGTCGGGAGTGTGTCAATCATAACCCGGGTTTACATAAAGAGTGCATCTTCCTGCATTGCAAATACAAAGTAAATTTTTCAATAATGTTATTTTGTATTCACAACGCAGGAACGTGCTTTCCTTATGTAAATCCGGGTTATGTTTGACGCAATCTCCAACGCACTAAAATGAGGTGGTAAAAATCTGTGCTTAGGCGTACACTCAAAATTTCTTATTGACTATATTGTTAATTATCTTTTCTATTGTTTATATTATAAAAATAATGTTATTAATAACAAAACTAGGTACCATGTAACTTGTGTTAAAATACAATTGAAACATTTTCGGAGACGCTTTTTTTGCTATTGACTTATGTCAGCCAAATGAATTTTAAAAAATAAATTTTTTAATCTATATATAGATTTTTCTATTTTTTTCGTAATTAACACGCTGTGTCAGGAGATCGCTTGGCATTATTTTAACGGTAACGGTAAGCTATATGCTATTTTATCGTATATAAACATGTTTTTTTTCACTAATCCTTTTTGTCTTAAATTTCTTGATTAAAAATGCTTTCTTTTTTAACCTTAATTTATATTTTGCTTTATTTATTTTTTTTATCCTTTTCGAATGCGTCTTTACCAGTCCCATCAGATTATGACTGTCCGGAAGGCAAAGAAAAAGTTTTTGATCTTACTATCAGTAAAGAAACTTTTGCTCCCGATGGTTTTAAACGAGATATGTTTCTCATAAATGGTCAATTTCCTGGTCCTCTTATTAGTGCCACTAAAGGTGATACGTTAGTGTTGAATGTTAAAAATGATTTGGATGAAGATACTTCAATTCATTCTCATGGAATGTTCCAACGCGGAACTCCTTGGTATGATGGT